AACAAAGAGTAACTCCCATTTCCTGTTCTTCCCTTACTTCATGTATATGCCGTTGAATCAGCAACTGAAGATACCACTCATGAGCGATGCCACAATGTTTCACAAGCTCCACTTGCATCAGCCTTGAAAATTTTCCCTAGAAGAGCCAGCTCAGAATTATTACCTGCTACTTCTGAAGCTGAAGCAACAACATCCTGTATCAAAAAGTCTCAAGTCAAACTGGCTGCTCTCAGCATCGCAGTTCCAAAGGAGCTATGACTTATCTGGATCAACCATGTTTTTTCAGCTACCTTAAAAATAGTTCTCAGGTAATTGTCCTCTCTTAGGTAATTCCAATGCGTTGTGCTGCTACTGTCATTGTGTTACATCATTTGAATTTCATGTGGCGTTCTGAAAATAAGAGTTACACAACACTGTACTCATCTACACATTAATGTTCAATCCATTACCTTTAACTCTAGAACACAAGTAACCAACCTGGCCAGGCTGCATTCCTATATTGACAGTCTTAAACATTCTGAATTTGAAGAAAAAATTTCATCAGCTTCACTTTTACTTTATGATTTTTACATGACCTAATGCTCACCTTTTGAGCATTTGGTGCTAATGGCGCAACAGTACCAGAAAAACAAGTTACTACAGTCTCTATATAATCTTGCAATAGGCAATAAAACAAAGTATGTGTGGATGTAAGAAGAATCAAAGATTTCTCATGAAATAAAATCACCTACCTTGTTTTCTAGAGAAAGACTTACCCTTAAACCCAACCTGATAGACAAGTTAAACCATGAAAGGAATAACGTGCTAGTAACCAAGTAACCAGCATGCCTAAATTCTTAGCCTGGCTTTCTAAGGGTATGAGACACACGTAGTTAGTATGTACTTTGATGAATCCCATCATCCAGCATAAACCAAACTAAACAGAAGGGTGGACTTTGCAAAGATCTTAAACTGCCTACAAGATTCAGGAAAACAGGCAACCAGGTAGAGAAGACACAACCAAATTTAGTATCCCCATCAATGAGAAAGACCGTTCTATATTTGCATACCAATATTGGACACCAGAGGATCCACGTGGCTGAAAGCGGGTCTGAAGATACTGACCACAAGAAAAACTTCAACAAAAGCTTACACCTGTTTAGATTCAGAAAGCCAACGCCGCAGAAAGCAAGGCTTCACCCATGGCACTGCTCACAGCTGGCTTAAAATTTCAGCTTACGTTGGTCCCTCACTGGAAGGGGCTTGAACTTACATGAAGAGATAAGCCTCCCAGTTCTGTACTGATCGGGATCCAAAACCAGATTTCCAGGGGCAATTTAGGCATCTGCAACATTTGCAACTAAGCATCTGAAGATTTCGAGATCACTTAAACCAGCTCCTTAGCACTTCCAAAAATCCAACCAGACACTCTAACAAGAGCGCTCCCCCCCCCCAAAACAGTCCGTTGCATCATCTACCACCAACCAGGGTACAAAAGAAAATGCAATTTTAAAAGGTAAAGTTATTTTAAAGCTAAAAAGAATACAGTAACTACCCTATTTCACCCCATACCTAGGGTCAACCTCTGAACCTCCAAGTATACTTTGTGTTGTTTTACTGACAAGTGATAGTGCTTGGAATAGGTCAGAGTCAGTTATAAAAAGAGAGAATTCTCTAATTAGCTCTACTTTATCTTTGTTATCTTTATAATCACCAATCATCACCTAAGAGGAGAAAGGTAAAGAAAGGTCACTGACTTTCCCACATCATTCAGCCACATTAAATGAGCCCTCCAATCTAAAAGCAACACCACAAATTCACAAAGTCAACAACCTACCGCTCTCACAATTTGCACAAAAGGACTGTGTTTATGTCAAGCTTCCCCCCAAAACAGGATCCATCATCTAATTACCTTGTCAAGAGATGTGCATTATACTGAACTGAAACCAACTTTCGGAAGTCAAAATAAAGTAACTTGAAAACAAGGAAGTACAGCAGTTGCATGTATACGTATACACGGAAGAATCACAGCACCAGTGCTGCCAGGAACACTGGCTGATGTCATTGCAAAACCAAGCTGTATGATTTTTGGAAGGTCTTGGTGACTGGTCAAGGATCCTGATGACTGGAAAAAGGCAAACATCACAACCATCTTCTAGGCAAGAGGGACCGTCCAACAATACAGAAGGCTGGGAAGTCTGACTTCAGTCCCTGGAGGGATTACGGAGCAAATCCTCCTGGGAGCCACCTACAAATTGCCTGAAGAACAAAATGGTGATGGGAAACTGCCAACGCACATCTATCCAGGACAAACCACACCTGACACATCTCATAGCTTTCCTGTTGAGATGACTGGCTCCGCAGATGAGGGCAGAGCAGCTTGTTTGGACCTTATGAAAGCTTTCAACAAGGTCTCCCACAGTATCCTGAGAGCCAAACTGGTGAAATGTAGTTTGAATAGGCTGACTGTACACTGGGTGGAAAACAAGCTTGACCACTAGCTCAAAGGGTTGTGATCAGTAGTCCAAAATCCATCTGGTTGGAACTAATGCTGTTCCCCAGGGGCTGATACCACGGCCAGTAACGTTTAATGTCTTCATTGACAATCGGGGCAATGGGATGGGATGCACTCTGAGCAAGTGCGGATACCAAACTGGAGAGGGCTGCCCAGTGAGTTTGTGGGATCTCCGCCCTTGGAGATAGTCCAAACACAACCAGGCATGACTCTGAGCAACCTCATCTAAGTTGGCCTTGCTTTTAGTGAGGGTTGGGCCAGATGATCTCCAGAAGCCCCTTCAAAATTATATTATGACTACATTTTAGGTAAATAAAAGCAAATGGAAGCAATTAAAAGCTGTTTTTAAAACTGAGATATTGGAGATATTTCCTCACAAGTGAAAATAAGCCAGAAATTAACATTAAAAGTAAAGATGTCCAACTTTTGAACCAGTTTTTAAAAGGCACAGCTCCAGACTTTAAAAGAAAACCTCATGAAATTTTACATGCTGTTCAAGCTAAATCTTTTGAGTTAAGAGCAGAGACTTTATTTGTAAACTGTTAATTAACAAGCAGAGACCTCAGTCCCAATTCGCAACTGGAACTAGTCATCTGGATGACACTGATCTTCAGGAACTAATCACAGGGTCTTTTCCCGACAGACACCTGTGTTCAGGGAGCGTGAGGCTTTTTGATAATGCCCCAAGCAAAGCACATACGTCACCTTTCAGTCTTCAAATCACAGAATGGCAAGGGTTGGAAGGGACCTCCAGAGATCATCCAGTCCAACCCCCCTGCTCAAGCAGGCTCACCCAGAGCAGGTTGCACAGGACATCATCCAGGCGGGCTTTGAATATCTCCAGAGAAGAAGACTCCACAACCCCCCTGGGCAGCCTGTTCCAGGCCTCTGTCACCCTCAGAGTAATCCTGTCCCGTTTTCCCCACCAGCTCCAGATGAATATCTCAGTGAAGAACTGCTATTACCTACGGAACTTAGCTTCGTTTTTCACAACTGCTACTTTGGTATGGCATGAAATTAATTAACTTTTCGATATTAAAGACTACAACAGAAATATTTGTTAAAAAACCCTACCGTTAAGAACTGCTGTGGTCCCAATCACTGTAATACCTGAATCTCAATAAATAAAGCCTTCTCCACAACACAGTCCAAAATCATCCACAGGTCACTTCTGTCCACAAGAAGAATGGTGAGAAAAATAAGCAGCCATAAAGCTCTGATAACAGAACAGTATCTATGGTAGATAACCCCATATGGTGATTAGGACAGAGCCGTAGATGCTGCATTTTTGCTACTGTTAGTGCTATGGGAACATACTCTTTGTTCATATTACAGTGGCAGCTAACAACTCAGTCAGGGACACATCCCATACCCTAGATCTAGTATAGACAGAGGAGAAAAAAATAAATGCAATTCCCTCATGACAGTAATTAAAAGAAGCAGCATATTCCCTTGATCTAGTTTAGGCATCTGAGTTAGGCTAATCTGACCAAAATTTCTGTGTAACAGAGAGCGGGGAGCAGCCTAAATCCATGTTGCAGGGATGTGTGAAATTCTCTTAATATCATAGGGAGCCTAGAGTCTGAACTTCAGGTTTCTCCAGAGGTACAGTGGTGTGAAAGCACCTCCCAGCTTAGTCAGAATAAAAAAATACAGACAAACCGAACAGGGAAGGTAGAATAGAAAGAAACAAACAAAAATGAACAAAGTTTAGTTTGAATGAAGCCCAGCTAGCTGTTTATCCAACTAGTTCCTAATGCCCGTTATTTCTAAACATCACTGCCGCATCAGTGGATACAGATGTCTGTTACAGCTATAGTCTTTGAATTTCAACCAAATTTCAGATGAACAATTTAAAATTATTGAAAGCAAGCTGCATTTTATGCACCACCGACGTTATCCCCACCGCGGCAAAGCCGTACTGCTTCACACGCTTCCTATGTTTTCCTGTGTACATACAAGCGTGGGAGCTGCTGCCACCACAGGCCAGCACGAACAAAAACAAGTTTAAAAAACATTAAGTTCCCAAACGAGAGATGCATACAGCGGGGCAGCCTGAATGCAGGGGCAAGCAGCCGGTAACTTCTCATTCCAGTGCTTTAGATGGGGAATTTCCAACTGATGTTTAAAAGAACCGCTATGAGCTTGGGTTAAAGATCACAGGTACTATCTAAAGCACAATTGACTTTCAAGTTCTGCTATGTGACAGATGTCAAAGCGTCAACTGCTATGAAAACCATTTAATGTACTCAAAATAGTATCTTAATGTTCAGGGAACCGAATCATGTATCTCAGCCTTGGTTTATTTTCTGAATTACTACATGCCGCGGTGTCAAGTCAAGACCAAGGAAAGCCAGCCTTTTTACAGGCAAAAACACTTCACAAACTTTAACTGCAGACACCAGCTCAATTCCTCCAAACTCTAGGTTTTCACAGCAACTACAAGAAAGAAAATCACCATCACCACAGCAAACCGGGGTCTCTTAACACGTCCGAGTTACTTCACCTGGCCAGGGCGCTCCCTTGGGTGGGCAGCGAGCGGTTTGGGCACCGACACCCGGTGTTTCTTCCCCTTGCAGAGCAGTAGCAAAGCAAAGCCGAGCAGCAAGAGCCACCGTCGCTACCGGCAGCTCTGCCCGGGTCGCCGCCTCCCCCGCCCCGCAGACAAGCAGCGGAGCTCTCCCACCGCCCAAATTTCACGGCCCGGCGACGGGGCCGGCTCCCGGTTAGGGCAGTTCCCATAGAAAC